TTCACCGAGGCGACCTTCACGACCTTCAATCTTCTCGCCCTCCTCGCCAGAGTTGTGAGGGGGAGCAGTGAACCAAGGGATCTTTCCACGGAGGAAATCGTTGATGACCATCTTGGCAACACCGTCGAGATCAGGCTCTCCACCACGTAGGAGGCGACCACCCTTGCGGGCAAGGAGACTGAGGAACTCGATGGGGTCGTCAGTGCGCTTGATACCGTAGGTACGCTCCAAATGCTTGGGCTGAACACGCTTGAGAATAGCTGGAATGTACTGCTCAGGGTTCTCTACGTTCTCCACACGGACGACACCACGGAGAAGAATATCCTCGGGAGAGTCATTCGGGTTTGGAGGAACAACACCAGGGCAATCGATGAGGTAGATCCTCTTCATCAAGGTAACGTACTGCCACACCTTGGTTTCACCCGGAATAGGAGCCACAGTGCACACCTTCTTCTTGCGCAAGGTGTTGATGACGGAAGACTTTCCAGTGTTGGGGTATCCAATGAATCCCACGGAGATCTGCTTCCGGTCCGAGTGCAAAGAAGAAAATTGCCTCAGTAGCTGGATCAACGAGCCCTTTCCGAAGGAATTGTTGATAGAAGCATGGAAAGCCAAGGTAGGATAATCCTTAGAAAGGTGGCGAACCCAAGCAGCCTGGTGTCACGTTAGCAGCTGAACACCAGCGTTGCTATCAGAGTATAGCATAGTAAAAGAAGAAAACATATAAAGAAGAAAAGAAACAAAAGTATGATAACAGGATGTGTGAAATGTTACTAAGAGACCTGCTATGATGCCACTTCAAGAGCGGAAGCAGGACTCAACTCAAAAACAGAACACAGCTCGGTCCTTAACGATCGGCTTTCAAAACGAAAACCAATCAGCCTAGCTTCAGAAAGAAGGTCGGCGCGGACCAGCGTCAATCTGCCAAAGCTGTAACAGACAGTCTCCCATAGCGAATAGCGCGACATGAAGTCGCAGGAGGCGCCTTGACTTAGCGATGGCAACGGCGAAGGGCCGTATTGAAGATCAAGGGAAAAGGGGAAATTGCAATGAGAGAAAGAAAGCGAATATAGACTTACCGCCACACCTGTAGGTACGAGATCGCACTTGTTCAGGACGAAAATCAAGTGCTTGTGAGGAGCCTCCTCTCGGATGTACTTCTCAATACTCTTGCACCGTGTACCTTCCGGATCACGAGCATCAAGGAGATGGATGACAACATCGGAGGAATCGATAACCTTGTAGAGCTCGTTCCAGATACGCTTACTCTGTCCCTTAAGGAAGACAGCCTCCTTCGCGATGGGTGCGACACTAGAGTCTTCCTCTACTGCGACATCATCACCGTTCACCACCATAGTACCATCTTCATAAGTAGCATGGTCCGACTTCTCAACAAAGGCGTCGTGCATCTTGGCGGTCTCGCCAGCCAGATCCGTAAGCGACGAGACACCCAACTTGACACGTTTCCTCTGAGCCTTGGGCCCGAAGGTGTCACTGAAGGGGTTGGTCTCGATGGCCATCTTGGCCTGGTGCTGCTTCAGTCCATTCACACCCTTGTCATCTCTGATCAGGCTCATGGGAAGCTTGTTGGTTTTGAGCAAGACGGAATAAGGATCAGAGGCACGCTCAGCGACCGCCTCACGGAAAGAGGACAGAGCCTCTTGCGAGATCACTCTGGTGTTTCCAAACCATTTACGGTTGGGTTCAATCCTAGCGACGGGGGCGTCTCGAGACTGGTACGAAGCAGCCTTGGTGATCTTTCCTTCAGCGTTACGTTGGGGTTTACCATCCTTGAGCATATTCAAGGTCCTCAACTTCTTCGCATCTCTTCCAGAAATCAGTACACATATCCATGACCATGTATCGGAAGGAAAATACTCACCTGTAAAAGTTTTCACCCTTTACCCGGACGTTCCCCATGCCATCTCCAGTCTTCCCCTGCCGCTCTTTACGAGTGGCTTCCTTCTTGAAGGTACCCATTGTGCAAGTAAGCGCTCAAGGCACCTTGAAGAAGAATAATATGAAAAAATCAAAGATAAAGTGTCACAAAAAAGAAATGGCGGAGCGCAAAGAGGGAAGAGAAAGAAAGGAAAAAAGTTTCGAAGCGCGGGAAATTATTTTTTTCTCCAAAGACGGGCGCCAAGCTAAGCGGCGCACGGACCAGGCGCAAGAAAATCGCTTCGTCCTCGTTCGACTCCCGCAATAGCACCGCGCAGGCCATCAGCCATCTCACCCTCCTGTGCTGGTCCTTGATCCGAAGTAGACCGGCTACCTGGTCCCTATCAATTCTTTTTCTTCCATCCCCTAGTCACCAATTCTGCTCCACCGCTATCCTTGAGCAGACAGACACTGTTTACCATGTCTCTCTTCCGCAATTGCAGGGCTGCCACCGTGCAGTTCCGCGGCTTCACCTCATCCTCCTATCTGCGGGTCGGCCCCGAGTCTCCCAACTTCGTCGACATCCCTCAACCCATTCAGCCCGATCTTCCTTCGAAGCCCCGCGTCAAGGGTACCCTGCCCGTCCCCCGAGAACTCTTCCCGGCCCGCCGCAAGGACAAGCCGACAGAGGCATACATCAATGCCGCGACGCCTCTTCCGACCAAGGAGACCAACTTGGACCCCAATGACCCCAACACCGAATACATTGAGTGGAAGAAGCGCATGGCGGAGATGAGACGCAAAAACCTCCGCGAAGGTCTCCTGGAACTACACACCCGGAAGCAGCGGACGGACAAGGCCATGATGCAGCGGAGTTTGGAGAAGCAGAAGCGTCGGGACCGTATCCTCCGCCAGCCTGAGAGAGAAGACCAGCGGTTGACCCGTAACTCCGTCATTCAGGACATGCTACCCAAACATACCGCCGTGCTGCCGGATCCTGACCGCGAGACCCGCCTGGCTGAGTCCAAGGCCCGCCTCGAGTATCAGCAGGCTGTGAAGGAGGCCGAGCGTCAAGACAACCTGCAAGAGCTGTACATGAATGCTCGGAACTTCATTACCACAGAGGCTCAGCTTCTGGCTGAGATTGAGCGGGTCTTCCCCGAGGGTGAGAACGAGGCCTGGCGCAGTGACCACCAGGAGGGCGAGAACATCTGGAACTTGGGTGTGCCCCCTACTGTCCAGGGTATTGTCAACGAGACCAGGAAGAGCGAGACCGCTCGCTGGGACGTCATCCAGAACAGAGTCAAGCAGCTGGGAGAGCAGATCACTGGTGGCAAGTTGTGAGCCCATGTATTTATTTAGACGGTTGTACATTACACTATTTTCTTTTTCCTAGTTCGGTTTTATTTATTCTGTTTTGTCATGCAATTTATTGGTTTGTACTAGCTTTACCTGTTTGTATACCTATTGTACCTGAACGAATTGAACATCTCAGTCATATAGCTTTTCCGGGTGCTCAAAAACTGTCACAAAACGCCATCGCTATGCAACACAAATGCCTAAACGCCGCAACCAACAATATTAAGACCCAAATCCAGAAGCTATATCAGCGGAGGAAATCAGAAATCATGACCATAGCTCACGAGCTGGCTTCTGGAGCGCCTGCACTTGAAACAGCCGCCAAGGCAGCACCTTCAGTAGCCACAGGTCTGGAAATACCCATCGTACTTGTAACCTCTCGCTTGGACACTTCCTCATCAATGAAGCACCCAAGACCTGCAAAGGCCTCCATCAGAGTACGCGAGTAGTATTCTTGAAGGTCGTATCCACCGGCCTGCATACGAGTGTCCTGGCGAATAGGGTCGAGGTAGCTGTTCGGGTAATGGTCGCGCAGAGTATAATAGTCCCTCTTGTTGGGAATGAGGCCACCAAAAGGATCGTAAGGCTTTTCAGGCTCGGGCGTCTTGATCTTCTTGAGACCCTTGATCAGACCAGAATCACCACTGTCATCTGCCCTGTCCGCCGTGGTGAGGGCACCCTGGCCGGCCTTCCTGGCATCGGAATTACGCAAAGCAGCTTGCTTTTGTCGGATGCGGTCTTCTTCACTACGACGAGCAGAAGATTTCTTGAGCAACACCTTGTGGCCTTCGCGGGCGATAGCCGCTGCGTCGCCAGGTCGACCTGCCGCAAGACGACTGAGGACATCTTCTCGACCGGCAAGCATTTCCTTCCGCTCATTCTCATATTCCAGTCTAGCTGCCTCTCGCCGAAGACGTGCCAGTTCTTGTTCGTGTGTCTGTTGCTCTCGGAAGGACGAGGCCTCTTGTGCTTCGAGGGCTTGGTTCGCGCGAATCGAGCGCATGTTGTCTGCAGCATATCTTTGCAGATCGCTTTCCGTCTTCGCCACATCTGTGCCATGGACAAGGTTCGCTATTATCTCTTCGCGTTGTTCTAGGAAGTCATCGTAGGCTCGTTTCGAATCAAACTCTTCTTCGCGGCGGTTGAGACTAGAGGAGAATTAGTGGTCATTCCTGGGCCTAGTGGATTTACTCGTGGCGTACATCTGCATGACTCTGCGCCGAATGTCAACCTCCCTTTCCACATTGATATCCTCGAATGTCTGCTTGCGAAACCGGTTCTTGCGCAAGGTCTTGTGACAGCCCGCCACAGGACAGTTCGCGGGGCCTGAGGAAAAGATCCGGTCCACGCAGGACTCGCACATCTTGTGGTAGCATTCGGGATTGATGAGAAATCGCATGTCTGGGTTCAGATACCGCGAGGATTTGCAGACAGGGCACACCTCTGCTGACAGTCAGTGTATATTCAAAAGGGTCATGAGAAGTAGACTTACCGTCGTCATCCCCCCGGTGAGCCATGATATCACGAGCAGGAGGCATTTTGAGGGTCACTGCAGCTCAAAGAGGCTCTGGATAACACAGTACGTGAGGCACGCGACAGGTTGGGAGGAAGAACGATTGACGGTGATTCCTCAGTGGCATTGAAGGTTGATAATCCAGCTGCGTGCACGGGCCAATCATGTTCTGTTCTCCGCTCTTGTTCCGCGGCGGAACTTTTTCTTTGCCGCCGCCTTCCTTCTCTTTCTATTCGGACATCCCCCCTCCCAGTGCACTTCCACACTCCTACGAAACGGCAGCTTTCCCCGGATAGTTCTCGGCATACTCTACAATGGGTGTTCCAAACAACAGCCTGCATGAGCTGGAACGCCAGCGCCTCGAACTCGAGGGGAACATCTCGAAGCTACAAGATTCCCTCTACCACTGGAGGACGTGGGAGGCCGAATACGATGGCCTCAAAGACGAGATAAACGAGCTGGACGACGATGCGACAATGGATGACTACCTCCGAGTAGGACGCGACTTTGGTGGCTCCCTGGTCAATGAAGAGGAAGTCAAAGTGATTTTGGGAGAGAAACAAGGCGTGACGCGAACCAAGCAACAGGCGGTTGATCTGGTAACGAGGCGAATCGACTACGTGAAGCAAAATGCGTCGACTATAGAGAAACGGCTACGTGCGGCAGAGGATCAACTGTACGCGCTCGACTCCCAAGATCGGTTACCGGTGGAACCTACGGCGGACTTTCCTATGACTGAGATTTTCGAAGAACTCGATGAAAATGGCGAGATTATTTCAAGCAAGACAACAACACCCGGCAGCGAGGCCACCGATCTTTTGGAGGTTTTGAAGAAGGCTGGTGTGAAGGATATACCTGATGTGGCTAAGGCCGATACTGGCGTATCGAGCTCGTCTCAGCAAGTCACTCAGACTACGGAGGAGGCGTCTTCCGCAAATAGTCTTGGGAAAGATGATACATCCGCCAGCGAGGAGCCCTCCGTCAAATCTGGAAGTGATGCGAAAAACACAGGCTCTGCGTTAGACCCGACCGTCGAAGTTCATGGCGAGCGTCCTGTTATGGAAGTCGACGAGTCTCCGGAAGATGCTAAATTACGCCGTGAGATGCTCCAGTATAGTCTGAACGAAGTCGGGTCTGTCGTGGCGGAGCTTGAGTTGGACGAAGACGCAAGTGATATTTCTGTTGATGAGGACTATGATGCTTATGATTATGACGATGACGAAGATGAAGAGGAGGACGAATACGGAAGGAGCACTAGGCGTGTTTTGAGCGAAGACTATCACCGTCAGATGCGCGAGCTGGAGGAAAAGCTCAATGCTCGGGGAATGTGGAATGCCGGAAAAGACACGCAAACGCTTCCGACCGAAATCAAGCAAGACCTAGATCAGCCCAGTGTTGTTCGTGTCGAGAATAAGGCAGACACGAGTAGCGAGCCAGTCAAGGAGAAAAAACCGAAGAAGAAGGTTGCTTTTGCTGACGAACTCGACATCGCTCCGGCTTCCAAGCCTACAGTTGTGGAGAAGAAGGTCGCTCCGGTCCGAGAGTCTAACGTGCCTGTTCTTCAGGATGCTGTTGTTGAACGCACAGAACCTGCTCGGAAAGAATCTGTGCAGAGTGACGCCCCGAAGAAAGTATCCCGGTTCAAGAGTGCCCGGAAAACCAACAACGCGACTGAAGACGCCACTGCGTCAACAACCCAACCTAGCAACACTTCTCGACCTGCCGAACCTCGCTCGGCTCTACGCAAGACTGAGACATCTACCACTGGGCCAGCTCTACCTCTGTTCCCTGCTAAACCAGCGGAACCCAAGCCCTTCTCCCAGCCTATCTCCGACATCGTGGAGCAAGAAGACCCTACACCCAGGGGCCCCGAAGGGAAGATTCTTGCCGATACGCTCGTTGAACGGGAGACCCCAGCAGGTCCAGCAGTAGCACCAGAGCCCGATGAGCTCGACGAGCAGCTGCATAAGAAGGAGATTGCAACAGAGTTCTACAAGATCCGGAACCGCATGATCCAGCAAAATGGCGGCTTCGTAGGCGAGGAGCCGGAAATTGTGCCGATTGAGACTGAGGATGCGCCTAGACGGGTGAGCAAATTCAAGGCTGCCCGCATGAGGTAAGACTCAGATAGAACGAAACCCAAACAGATACCCAATATATACCGATGCACAGATGCATGATACTGCGACCTTTTCATTCTACTATTGTGCCGTAGAAAGGACCGAAACCAAGGTAGTCTCTGCCTTGGCATGAATATACCACTTTCCCATGGTATAGTCATTCAAACTTCGAAGTCCAAGAATGAAGAATAGGGCTCTCTGACTGTGCTTCCGTTACTGGGTGTATTGGGCTCAATTGAGTACTTACGGCCAGTTACAGATGGAGACATGGTTACGTTTCACCCTCGACATCCTACACATATATATACCATGAACCTTCTCAAACTCTCTGTAGGAGTGGTTGTGGCAATAGTCTAGGTCTAATGTGAACCATGTACCTGGATAACTATAAGATTTCTGCCTTATGTCCAGTTTCCATGGGATGGGGTATAAATAAGCGCTGTTTCTCCGCAGTTAAGCATCTATCAATGATACCCAGATACTACCTGATATCCAAGTCAACAAGCACGGAGACTGCCAGCCACAAGTGTGAACCAGTGGTTCATCTATGTGACTTTACAAGCAATGTGCATCCATCCATCTCAGATTCAACATGTGAACATTGATCGAGCTCCATCTTTCCTCTACCCCGCTAGGTAAAAGACGCAGCAGAGTTTCACAGCATCATTATGATGTTTACATCATAAACAGATCATTGATGGTTGGGTTGCTTTAGTTCAATAGTTATCGGGGCAGACCGCACCAAGATCCTAGGGATTTGGTTGATCAGCATCCATTACTTGATGAAATAGTTATTTATTATATTTATTTACGTCAGATACACCCTGGCTAACTGGCTGGCTGGCCCAGAAGTGGGAAACTGCTCTATTACTTTGTGATTTTCAAAGTTGATCTGGGCTGCCTGATCGATCGCCGGTTGCTTAGGGACTCGATGAGGTCAAGACTGGGCAGCTGGACTTTAAAATGAAGATCGACATGGAAATGATGTGCTGTACTTGATTCTGACAGCTCTAGTTCAATTCAACCAGCTTGGATCGTGTGAGACACTGGTGGACGTGCGCATTACATTATTGTTAGTCAAGGGAATCACTAATTAATTGTTAACTGGTTTAACTTGAGCTATGTTGGGGTTGTTGTTGTCCAACCCCGGCAAGTCCGACGAAATCAAAATTTTGCGAGTCCTGCAGGCATCCATCTGTCTTGTCATCTGGATCGTTTACAGAATGCTTTTGCATAAGCATTATTCCGTCCGTCCGTCCGTCGGACCGATCCTTGACTGAATGAAGGGTAGAAAGAGAGGAGAAGAAAATTGTGGAAAATTCGAATTGTGGATGTGTCCATTGTTCGGAGCATTGTGCTGCTGGTTTACTGTAAAGGTCTGGAATCGAACAGGTGAGGGATAATCCACTTGTTTGCCCATCCTGTACACATGGATGGTGGGCCAGCACATAACTCACTTAACAGAGTAGAGAGGGATCAGAGTTTAGGTGGATTCTAGCCAACTGTCTAGACCTTGATTGACCGTTGTTAGGTGAGGGTGTACGTAAGCTTCTACAGAGTGCAGTGCGGGGATTTGGTCTGCAAAGTGCCCCGGTCTCAACGGCTTTGCTTTTGATGAGATTGGAATTTTGAGAATCGTGAATAGGGTGTGAGAGAGTGAAAATGTGATAGGGAACCCCGGGAGGCCCAATGGGACTGCTTTGACTGAGAAGTCGTGTTTCAGGATGGACTGGTTATATGGTTCGAACCAGAGTTCGATGTTCAAGAGATTGAGAAATGCTGAGGTGGGGAGATAAGCATGGAGCCAGGATGGGGCGGGTTTACTTACGACGCACTGCAGAAGCGCAACGGAGAATCTAATCGTGTTCCGGAGATGTAATGGAGAATAATAATATAGGAAAGTAATATTAAAAATGGCTAAAAGAGTATAGATTGAAATCGATCGCGCAGCCATCCAGATGCCGGCGAAGCTTATAGGGCACTGGCGGCCAACAGGGCTGCGTTGCCCACCTGTCAGATGGACGCCAATGACACGAGGCTGGTCAGGCCGGAATCCTGGGATTGTGTTGCCGTTGACCGGGTTGTTTCTATATATGTACGGCTCATAGTATATCTGTTTGTGTATCGTTTGTTGACACAGTTGATCATTATCGTTTGGGTAAACACTTAGGCAACCATGGCTGCTACCATTGTCCCATGGAGGCAGATTGGTTATTGTTTAGGGTTGCCTAGAACCGGTCTTTGGTTCATATTCAGTTTCTTTTTCCGCTCTGGCTTTCTCGGGAAGGAAAGGCAGCGAGCCAGGCATAGGGTCAGTAAGAATTCCCCATGACGTGGCGCAGTGGCTCGGGTGGTGTATTGCCGGCAGACGAGAGAAGGAATAGGACGATGGATCCTGGAAGCCTCATGGAAGCTGGATGGAGGAAGTCCAGCGAGGCTGGCGTCATCCCCCACCCGCGGATACGGATTTACTATTGTTCCCGGTGGACTGGGTTCTGCCGGGTTTCTCCGACCTTCCCAAAGAGTAGAATGATAGTCCCTCATCTCCATTCTAATGACTATTCTCATCGAATAATCAACTCATCAATAATCCACCATGCCAAGGATTATTCCATCATGACATGCAGTCGCTCGCTGTCCTGCTACTACGCGGGCTATGCTGCTTCTTAAGCGAGATCCAAAAGCTGTTCACCGAAGTCCTAAGCAACACATCCAAGGCAAGAGTCAACGTCAACTGTATCCCCCTACTCCGCACTGCATGTCGTATATGCTTCGAGTCCAAACCCTTCTGAGCATAATGCAAGGCACCCTTCCCCGGTTAATCCCAGGATTCCCATCCTTCCCTGTTGTTAGGCCGTGATGGTGGCTATAGCTCCCCCTCCACATCCCTCCCGACTTACGCGGACTATGCTTGATACTTGCACTCAGGATTGATTGCTTATGTCGAGCATACTCCGGAGTAGAGCATTGTCGCTTACCTTGCGTTCCCGGTTTTCCGCTGTGAGCGATTATGAATAGAAGCAGGCCCGTGGGTGTCCTACCCATGTTCCTTGTATGGATAACAACAATGCTCGCTATGTATGGCTGAATGGCGTGTTGTACCGTGGGTGGCATTGCCATCTCGCCACCGGACTCGCAATAACCCGCCTGAGTCCATGAGTCCGGAAGGTCTTGACCAGGGCAGGGTTCCCGGCCGATCCAAAGGCTGCTCGATGGGGCTGGGTCCACAGTTGGCTTGTGCCCTGCATCGCCCGAGCCACTGATACCGCTTCTATCTCACAGCCAACTTCCAGATCGGGTGTTTTTCATAGAATTCCCCCCTCCACAAGGCCCAATGCTCATGACGTCTGCTTTCATTGCTCCTTCAATCCCGGAGCTTCCAGGCCCGGCGTTGTCGGACAACTTGCAGCTTGTTTATTCGCTGTCCGGTGGTGCCTAGCGGGATCAACGGTGGCCCTCCATGTTTCTTTTCCATGGTCAACTGCCAGTCCAGCAGAAGCAATGCAACTGGCTGAATGTCTGTTTCTATTTTTTTTCGAACTGCTGTGCTGTGGAGGTATGCGTGTTGACTCTGTCCGGTTTACCACCGGCAATTGCCCATGACGTGCCTTTTATGTACCCACTATAGTTTATAAATATTGAGCGTACCCTGGGTTTTTCGGCTTGCTTGTTAGCTTACCCCGGCCAATAACCCTTCCAAAAACAATCTTTATTCTCACATCGCCCCCAATCCGTTCGCTTGCTTTCTAGCTGTCGCCTACTTTCGCTTTTGCAAGTATGAAGAACGTTGCGACCCTTGCAGCCTTCGCTGCTGGGGCTAATGCCCTTGTTGGCCGGAGCGACTCTTGCTGCTTCCACCTGACAGCTTCTGGTGATGCTTCTGGCACCATTGGCCAGCTGGGTGATGGTCAGAACCGCATCGGTGGTGGACTTCCCGCAACCCAGTTCTGCATTGACTCCAACGGTGGCATCACTGACAGCAGCGGACGCGGTTGTGTTGTGACTAGTAAGTTATCCACATATGAATTATACCGGGTATGTTACTAACCACACATCCCTGACAGGCGAGACCACACAGTTCCAGTGTGACTTGGGTAAATCTCCTATGTCGGGTTTCTCCATCACCTCCTCTGGTGAGCTGGAGTACAACGGTGACGCCGATTTTGTTGCCTGCCAAACTGGCGACAACAATGAACTGAACCTTTACACCACTGAGAACTCCTCCGTCACTGGCTGCGAGAACATCAAGTTGACGGCTGATTCCTGCTCGGGCTCGGGTGCTGGCTCTGTTGGCTCCAGTTCTGCTCCGGCTTCGACCCCCGCCCCTCAGTCCAGCCAGCCGGCTCCGGCTCCGTCTTCCAGCGCTCCAGGTGTCCCTGGCGCTGGTGCGTCGACTAGCTGGGTACCCGGTGGCCCTGCCTCCAGTGCTCCGGGAGTTCCTGGCGCTGGCCAATCGACTGGCTGGGTTCCTGGTGGCCCTGCCTCTAGTGCTTCAGTGCCCTACGGTCCTGGTCCCCAGTCGAGCGGCGCCGTGCAGGTGACGACCGTCTATGTGACCGAAACCTACTGTGGCGCTGAGTCTACTCCTGTGGCTTCTGTTCCTGGAGAGACTACTGTCCCGCTGGTTCCCGTTGGACCTGGGTCCTCTGCTCCCGCTGGTTCCCAGCCGGCGCCCTCCGGATCCCCTGCTCCTCAGCCATCCGAGACTCCATCCTCCCCTCAATCGTCCGAGAGCCCTGCTCCTCAGCCTTCGGAGACTCCTTCATACCCCCAGTCCTCGGAGACCCCGGCCCCCCAGCCTTCTGAGACTCCTGCTCCTCAGCCCTCCGGATCTCCGGCTCCTCAGCCTTCTGAAAGCTCTTACCCCGAAACCTCTGGCACTCCCGCCCCTCAGCCTTCCTCCTACCCCCAGACCTCTGGAACTCCTGCTCCCCAGCCGTCTGGCACTCCCTCTTACCCCCAGACCTCCGCGTCTCCCAGCAGCGCTCAGCCTTCTGGCACGGCCACTCAGTCTTCCTCTGCCAGCTGCCCCACTGATCTTTCTGGCGACTATGAGTACCCTCACCTGATCGTCCCGATCAACTCTTCCACTCCTGACACCGCCTATGGTACTCAGTACTTCGGCACCGTCTCCTCCACTGTCTCGACTATCTTCAACTTCGACATCCCCTCTTCGGACTCTGGAAAGACCTGCAGTCTGATCTTCCTGTTCCCTACCAAGGATCAGCTCGAGACCTCCGACTACACTTTCAGCGGAGACGGCAAGGTTGACTTCTCCCAGCTCGAGTCTGCTGCTAGCGAGTCGACGACCTACAACAACGCTCCTGGAGTCAAGCAGGACTACGGCGACTTCACCCTCTCGCCTGGCAACTCTTACCTGATCTCCACTTTCTCTTGCCCGGCTGGCCAGACTGTCAGCTACGAGATGAAGGAGGCTGGTAGCACCTACCTCAACTTCTTTGAGGACTACAACCCCTCTCCGTAAGTGTATCACATG